AGAAGTAGAATATTTTGTTTTCTAAAAATAGATTATACCAGAAACAGAAGGTAACCACTTATCACATGTGAAAATCGAATGGTCGTCCAGGCTCCTAGACGCGTTCTCTCTTCTATTGTTTATTCTTTCTTTTTTTGGTTTGCCCTTGTATGCTCTGAAATTATATTTTATTTTATATAAACAAGATATCAAAAGAAAAAAAGGAAGGTATTTTTGCATTATGCCCACAAAAGTAGGGGGATGTGTGTTTGCTCCAACCAATTCTATATTTACTTTATTTGCTTTGAGACATTATAGGACTTCTGATAATATCTTGCAAAATTTGACCTTCCACTCGGAGAAATCAACTTTTGCCTAGTGCAGCAAGGAATTGAAAATTCCCTTTTCCCTTTTGGTCTAAAAGAAAAATGAGTGTGATCGACATTTTGTTCAGGATCGATGATATTTGCAAGAAGTACGACAAATATGATGTCGAAAAGCAACGGTCCATTAATGCCTCGTCCGACGATGCTTTCGCGCGGCTCTATTCTTCTTTTGAATCTCAGATTGAAGCCATTATCCGGGTCTGTATCTTAGTAATATTTCTGGTTTCTAAAAAAAAAATGGCTACATGTGATCACAATCTTACAAGAATTGTTGTGATTTGTCTATTCCTTTTACTTCCAGAAATCGGAATTGGCAGAGATGGAAACAAACAGGGCAACTGTGGTGGCATTGAATGCAGAGGTGCGCCGGACCAAGGCCAGACTCCTGGATGAAGTGCCTAAGCTACAGAAACTTGCTCAAAAAAAGGCATTTTTTTATTATTATTATTGTTAATCTAACATATTTTCTCATTATGATTTATGGGTTATAGATTCGTATGGATAATTTTTAGAACCTGATATGCTTAGAAGGAATTTGAAATTCATTTATATGTGTCTTGGATCATAGATGCAAACAGGCACATGCACACCGAACAACCACAAAGGCACAAGGATGATCCACATATGTTCTAAAAAAATGAAAACACAAAAAGAGGTTGCATTGATCACAATGCATATCACGAGGTTTCAAAATTGTACTACTGTGTTACTTGAGATTAGTTTTTGGGTTGCTTTCGTGTCGTGGGATAAAAGTTGACGTGCTTTCTTCGTATCTTTCTATTATATTTCTTTCTCATAATATCCTTTTTTTTTGCTTCATATAGTTATAATTAAATATGGCACCGGACATTTTGACATTCTTTAGAGAAATTAAGTCATTATGCAATATATATAATGGGTTCAGAATCTAGAAAACTAGAAATGGGTTTCGAATTAGAATCGTATTGTTATTGTATTAGCTTAGGACATTACTCTACACATGAAGATATTTGTTTAAAGACCAATATTATGATTGTAATGAGGAACTACACTACCACAGGTGAAAAATCTCTCTAGAGAAGAATTAGAAGCTCGTACGGATCTTGTTCTTGCACTCCCTGAGAGAATTCAAGCAATACCTGATGGGAGTAGAGGTGCATTCAAACAATCAGCCTGGAGCGCTTCGAATAAGAACATCAATTTCGACTCTAGTGGTTAGTTTATCTTAAGTTGGTTTTTGGATTGAAAATAAATATTGATCCTTATCATTTTCTTATATGAAATGTATTAAACCTTTGCAACTATGATATCAGTATTATAACCTATGTGAATATGATATCAGATGGACACTTCGATAACGATTTCTTTGAACAAACTGAAGAATCAAGCCAATTTAGGCAAGAGTATGAGATGCGGAAACTA